CATGATCAGCATTATCAGTGTAATGATTAGTGTAATTACCAGAGTAATTATCAGTAACTGCATCTCCATTACAAATGTGCTCAAAAATATATTGATGATCTCTTTAATTTGAAAATGCAAAGTTTTGGAACTGTGGTATTTCCATTAAATGACAAATACATTTAAAATTGCAGGTGAATATGTTGGTTCACATAATAACTCAGAAAACATGGAGGCTGTCATGATGGGTTTCAGAAAAGCCCAGTATGCAGAACACCACGGAAACAGATGAAAAGTTTAACAAGTTTTATTAAGCACAAGCACATGGATTAAACACAGGAACTGGTTCAGGCCTGGGGGCAGGTTCACTGGAGTCTGTGAGGATGACAGTTCAGTTAGCTTGGGAGCAGATGAGTTTGAGTTTGAGAGTTTCTGGTTTATACCTTGAGGAGTCCGGGTTTGGCTTTGAGAGAGGAACTGTTGGGTCCAGAGATTGTTTAGTTCAGCAGAGTTCGGTAACCGCTTCAGCGTCTTGCTTCTAGCGTGAGGGCAGACCTTGACTTTGGGGTTTCCAGCTCTTAGTCCAGAGCAGCTTGAGAATCCAGAGAAGAGTCTTCAGGTTTGGCTCAGAGGGCAGGCTCGGCAGGTTAAGCTCATCCAGAGCTTACAAGGGAAACTGGATTCCTGTAAGCAGAGATAAAGAGGGATTAGAATCCAACCAGGGAACAGAAGCAACGAAGGTACTCAGAGAATGCTAGGCTCAGGTGCTAACCAAACTGGATAAACACTGCGGCGTTGAGGCAAGGTCTGAAGGCTGGTTAAATACTGCAGGATTCTCTGATGATGAGATGCGCCTCAGGTGTGTCGAAGGCTCAGCTCAGGAGGATCCACGGCGAACTCTGCTGGAGAAAGGTGGAACTTCTCCAGATCCCAACAGAGGCGCTGATGTCAATACATGAGGTATAATCATATTTCAGGCATGGCCCTAGTGGGCGCCATCATCCCCTAACTACATCCGGTCTTCTTCGTCTTTTTAAAAGGCAGTGAGGTCCAGCTGCAGATACGATGATGCATGTGATGCAAAAAAAAATATTTGCAAACCATAAAGAATTTATGTATGACCAAAAATCCACCTCATTGAAAACTTTAGTTTTTTCTCATATGCAGCATTTCCATTAAGCAGAATTATTTTCTTAATTACAATTTGATAGTTAATACCTTGTGTTACTGGCCCTTACTTGGTATCGGATTGATCTAAAAATACGCTGTATTACACACCTCTGGTATAAAGGCATGTATGATACTGGAGCATTTTTTTAACCCCAGATGCACAGTGCTAATCATCTATTCTTTTGGAAGACGTTGCAACAACGGACGAAGACATCCAGGTATTCTATTCATAGTTGTCTTTTAAGGTAACATTCATAAACATTTGGCACTGAGAAAGTAAAAGGGTAACGCTTTCCAACTTTATTTAGAAAATAGAAGTAATCTTTTGATTTTTAAGGGCCTGAAACAGGACAGATTTTGTACGAATAAATATCAGACACTGCGGAAAAACAAGGCGCCTTTTATAGCGACCCTTCCAACCTATTAGCCCCTAGGGGCCCTAGACCTTTAGCTTCCAGGTTTAGCTCAAAGCAACTGGCAACAGTGCCCAGTCGCAAATTCAGCATTCTCCGTACAGTGTTTCAAAAATCTGATACCAGATCAGTTAGGACCAGTGGATTAAAAAGTGATGGAGTTACTTGTAAAGACAAAACCACATTTTGTCAGAAAACAGGGACAGGTGGATCCAGTAATCAAGGTGAGAGTCAGTGGGAAAGTTCAAAACATTTATTAATATAGAAACATAAACAAACTGAAACTAAACTAGGATCTGCGACTCTCAGATGCTGCAGGAGGGGGGCAGGGCACCGCCCAATCTCTGACACTCTGGTGGGAGAAACACAGGTAAGTGACCACGATCATCTGACAGAAGATGATGATCTCAGTGAGTCACTTACCTGGTTCAACAGTCTCCCAGGGAGGTTCAGAGTCCAGAAGCGCACAGGAGCAGACATGATCAGGTGCAGACAGGCAGGCTCAGTGGTAGAGGGTAGCAGAGACAGGACATGGAACCAGAAATTAAGCAGGACCTTTAAACTGGTCTCCACCTTGGAGCCAGGCTTACTGGAAAAAAAACTGATCCTGCCTGCGTATAGAGCCAAAAATCCAGAGGACTCAGCAGGGGAGACACAGTGGATGAGCAGTAGATGAGACAGACACAAAACCCTCTTTCAACTGGCAGCCAGGATCCAGGACATGAACCTTAGAATAAACAGAACTGAACAGACTGAACAGAAAAACAACATCTAATGATCTGGCCATGATAGCTGGAACTGAGCCCAATATAAGGGCAGCTGGCAGGTGGATGAGATGAATGATAATTAGGAGCTGGAAAGAGTTAAGCAGGTGAACGGCATGAGTAATTAAGGACAGCTATCACAGCAGATCATGACACATTTACCTCCACTACATTAAATCCTACATCAGAGAACCAAAAATATATCCGATCAGATTTGTTTCATATCTGTTTCGTTGCCTAACAGCAACTTTCAGCTTAGTTTTTGTGTTTAAGAGCTCAGATTCCCTTAAAGAGCTCTAGGTCACATGACCCATTCAATGACGGATGGGCAAGTTCATCAGGAGGTCAGTGATAGACACCAAGTGCTGTACATCCACCTGAAAAAAACGTTATATCTCATATTAGGCAAATATTTTGGTAAAAGCTGAAGGAGTGTTAATATAAACCATTCGTTAAAATGTGTTTTAAGTTATATATAGACATGTAGGGACAGCCACTGAAAACCGAACATTTACAGGATCTCTTCCTAATTAAGAATTATATCTAAATCTAAGCCTCAACTACTGCTTCCCTTCTTTCGTGGGAACTGGATCCGACATCAGAGAGACTAATAATCCCAGATATTCTTCCTCCAGGTGATTTCCTTTCCCTTTTTAAACCGTGATTTTCCAACTCTTCCAGTGAAAGAGTGGCTGTATTGATTAGGTCTGTGTTAGTCGGAGAGGAAGCATATATTTCTGGGTTCGGCTTTCTAATAGCTCATGTGGTCTCCTTGTTCTCTGACGGACAGAGATGTTGGGGGCCGGAGCCTTTTAATGGCTAAGGAGCAAGCACATTAACCTTTTCTTTGAAGATCCACTGAGGCCTCTGTATCAATCTCATTATTTTGTTGGGGAGACTGTTTAAAATCAGAGTTCTGCAAGTACAAAAAAAAAAAAAACTAGTGCTCACAAGTCCCTTTAGGAATATGCCTTTACTCTTAATTAAACTGTTAAAATGAATTCCCCATTGTTTCAAGCCAGTTTCAATATAACACATTCTAATTAATATTTACCCTTTCAGATGACCTGGTAGAGTTTTAATATATGTGCCTTCCTTGTTTTATAATTCTGATTTAGAAGATAACTTTTAACTTTAAATTAGATGATTTTATTTAAATTCTCCTTTTCTTTACTAAAAGTGAAGCAGGTCAATCTCCAGCCTTCCTTTTCAGGACAGCAGCAGTTGGTTCAGATGTTCTTCAATTATCCATCTATAAATAAATTTTTTTCACAGGCTGGTCTCATTAGGAAGGGATCAGTGTAAGGTGTGCCAGGCTCATATAGGAACTGATGTCGCTCTCATGACTGCAGGCCACAAGATCTCTCTCAAACACAAGAAGATGACAAAAACTGTAAACCAGACACCGCAGAATTTCCTATATCTCTTAAACATTTACATATGTGGTAACAATTTGTTCATATCCTTTTTTATTTATTTGCCGTATGTTACCCGCACAGTGTAAAGCACAATATCAGAAAATACATAAACATGGCTTTCAAAATGGTTTACAAAATAAGTTGAATCAAATGTCAGAATTGAACTGGAGAATAATTAATTTGTTTGTAAAATATTCTCAGCATAAATCCAGGTGTTCTGTGAATGCTTCAGATTTTTCTGGAATGGACAGAATGTTTAGCATCATGCAGCAAACAAGACATGCTCACTTATCCTGACAGGCTGGGTGGGTAGAGTAATTATCGCTAGGTGTCAAGATCTACAGTTCAGTATGGAGAGCCCATGCCTCCTCTGTGTCTTTATCAGTGTCAAACAGTGGATGTACTAAAAATACTTGGGTCAGGCAAGAACAAAGCTTATTATTTATACTTGCAAATTGTAATTTGTAAAGGAACTCAAATACTGGATTTCAACATGAAGATTTCCTACACTTGATTATACATAGTGGTGGCAGCATCATGCTGTGGATAAAAAAAAAAACCTTTTTACAGAGAAGTTACATTCAAGTTGACCATCTTAATCTCCTTTGCAAATAGCAATGAGCTAAAAATGAATTGTTCCTGTTGAGACGTCGCTCGAAGGAATTGTGAATGTTACAGCAACTAAAATCAATCAGCAAACTGCTAAAAGTTATATTATTTGTTAAAAAAAAAAAAAAAATTAAAGAACTGTTTAACTTTCCATCAGCTTCAATCTCTCCTTTGTGCTTGACTATCATATAATCTGGATTAAATAATAAAACCTGTTGCTTTTATTCATGTGTTCTCAAACTCAGGTGGGTGTAATAACTAAACATTTGAGATTCAGCACCGACTTAACGAGAAACTTAATAAATTTATGTTTTAATTAGTTGAAATTCCCTTTGTTGAGTTTTCTCTTTCATAAAGTTTGAAGCTGCAAACACAGTGGAGTCAGTGATCTGTTATAAAGCTGCTGCACTACTCACAGTCCACAGGAGCCGCGACACTTAAGCTCCAAACCAAGCAAACTGGACAAATAAAGTGCTTTTTGTTCTGCAGATCAATGAAGTCGTGGGGGCCATCCTTTTTTTAGACAAATGTAGGTTTGTTGCCATAGCGAAGTTACCTGGGAAACCGATCAGCTGGGTTAAACCCAAAGACTGAGACATGGAAGGAGACAAAACACGGGGAACGTGGAGCACTTATTTTTCTGCTGTTTATTTTTATCCAACACCAAGCTGTTCTAAATTTAATTTGTTGAGGCACAAAAGCTGCAGCCTCCTTTTTATTGATTACTTTAGATATGGAGATGCTTGCATACCGTGGCTTCTCTAAGAATCAATTATATATAAATATATCCAAGAAAGACGCAACACCAGCACATTTGGGAACATTTCCCCCAAAAAGTGTTAAAATGCATAAAAAAAAGATTAATTCCACTTGTGTAAGTTAAGACGCAACAAGTGCGTTTCTCACTGGTTCTACTGGGAGGACACAGACAGCCACAGGTGGATCTTATTGGTCAATCCCAGCTTCTGGGGCTTCCATAAAACGCGCAACAGGAGCAACAGGAGCGGAGAGGGAGCGTCAGGGCGCAGAGCAGCCGCGCCGCGGAGCGCACATCACGGTCCAGAGAAAACACCTGTTACTGCAGGACTGAGCGCAAAAAGCAGGACGGAGACGCCCTTCAATAAACCTGTGAGTAACACGCTCCTGTATTAGAAGACTGATCTATACTCAGTTTAAGGTCTGGGAAACATTAGAGGTGGAAGGGGAAGCGTTGCGCACCTGTTGAGCTGCGTTTTCCTTTCCAACTTTTTCCAATGAAAAACATTTAAATACAGTAGAAAGCGAACAAGTAGTTTATTTTAATGTTCTATCCAATAAAAGCAAAATTTTTCCAGCCTTTGTTAGAATTAAAGTGCATGTATTGCTATTGTGTTGTTAATGAACAAATACTAAATAGTCCCTCTAAAGAGAAATCCAGGCATCTGTTGGATCCAACAGATTCCTAATTATCTTTTTTTTTAATGTGGGAAATACTTTTTTTTAAATGCACATTTAATAGCCTATCAATTATTGCAGTGTAGAGGCAGACTTTTTTTTTTTTTTCCTTTTCTGCTGATCTGAGGCTAATATAGCATATTTACTCATTTTTAATGAATGATGTAATTTCATCCATACAGCTTAGTAATAAGTCGTTTATAACTGTTTCTAATGGCCAGGGTTTGCATGGCCTCTTGTTAATGTGATATGTAATGACATGTAAATGTAAAAAGCAGTTTGCTTTATAAGACATATTTGTCGACTGTGGCCATTTGTTGGAGTTTAAACCAGATTGCATCTATTCAAACTGCATTACTGTTTTGCTTATCCCTTTAAACACATGTTCCTGGGCATCGAAACAACAGTAATGATACAACTTCTGACATTTTCTTTTTAAATAAACGTTTAGATAGGCTACTGTTTACATTTTTTCTACAAAAATATTACCCTAAAAGAAATACTATTCTCTTTCAATGACACGTAGATAAACAAATGAAATCAACCAAAGGAAAAGAATGATCATGTATTTTATTTTTAAATTCTGGAGAAAGGTAGCCCTATTTAGCAGAAATAACTTTAATTAGTATATCTTCCAGCCTCCATGAGTCTCTAACATCAGTCTGAAGAACGTTGACTTTCGAGCAAAACATGTGAAAGGTTTGGAAGACAAGCTTTTGTCTCATAATGACATTTAAGACAGTTTGTTTTAGGATGAATTGGCTTGAATGGCCAAAAACATCTTAGCAGTTATTTTGAATCTGCTCCTGTTTTAATATTTTTCTATTCTGATTCTAATCTTGAGAACCTTTTTAAACATTTCACCAGACGTCTAAGCAGATAGAATCTTCTCTCTAGAGCCTGCAGATAACTGCTCTGATTTCACTCTCTCCCTTTAACTGGCCAGACTAAATGCCTGAGGTTTAAACAGGGCAAACCTCCTTCAGTAATGAGGAGGAATGAGTCTCTCATCATGTGGACCTGATGTGATCGCCCTCAGTGGGATATTAGCCGTTCTAACAGGGGATAGATGCCAGAGTGTCCTGATTTAATAACTGCGTCAACTTTTGAAACTACTGTTCTTCAGTTTTAATTGTTTTATATCTGTTAGTTGGTGTTAGGATTGTCATAGATAATATTAAATATCAATTTGTCAAAATATGTTAGACTTTTAAGACTTACAAGGATTTCATATAAAAAAATACTACTGTTATTTATTTATTTTATATAAAAATGTATTTTGATTATTTTAATGAAATATTGAAATCGTAAAATCCATTTAAAGAGCAGTAAAAAAAAGAGCATTACAGAAATGTCAGCCTAATGAAAATTGTGTTCATATTCTGTGAAGAATCTGAACAATGAATAATTTATCAGCGCTCCTTTTGACCCGAATCGCTACATATTAAGTTTGATGTGGTTTGAAGACAATTGCTTAAAACCAAGTTTGCTTTAACTAAGACCTGCATCTTATTTCCTGTGTTGAGGTTGGTGTCTTCTATATATTTTATGACAATTCTTCTTCGTTGGGGTCAGAAATCCCTGCAGGATGGTTAATGGCACTGATTTAATGGTTATCAAAGCAGGTGCTGAAGGATGAGGCGACATGCTTTGATCTGAATTTGCACCTCTATCTCATGAATTTTCTTTGGTTTGATTTTCTAAACTATTGTTTTTATGAAGCGAATATAAATTTCTCTACACTTTTTCTTCCACTTAACTTTCCATTAATATTCTTAACTACAGCCGCCTGAGAACAAACAGCTTTACTGGCAATTATCTTTTCTTTTAGAGCCTCATTTTAGAGCATGTCAGTTACTGTCTGCTGGACTTCTTTCAATTCAACAATCAAGGCAGTTTCTGTGCAGATCAATACATGGCTATAAGCCAGCAGATTCTGATTAAAATTATGTTCAGATCTTTCATATAAAGGTATCTCTAATCTAATCTGTAACCAAGAATCTTTGAAAAGGAAAATACTGTATGTGTGTTACCTATTTAATATTTCACCAGAATTTATTTTAAGATTTAAACAAAAATCATATTTCAAATTATAAACAGATAATTGATCTGAAATTTTGGAGTTTAAAAGCAGTTTTGTTTCAGTACGTTAGCATGCAAGTGCTTTTCTCCCCCGTCTCTCTGTTTAAACCTCTCCACATTTAATTTGTGTTATTAATTACAGAGGTTCCTGAGTGAGACCTGCTCTTCTCCTCCCACTGTCTGGTGGGAAAATGTGGGTTCTGGATAAGATCCGTGGCTCGGTGGAGACGGGTATGCTTAGACAAGGAGACAATGGTGACAGGAAGGCTGTGGCTCCAGCTTACAGCAATGTGCTCACTCCCGACAAGATCCCAGACTTTTTTATCCCTCCAAAGCTGGTCAGCTGCCCCTCAGACCCCGAGGCTCCCGGCATCAAGCCTAAAGAGGGGCTGCATCCTTCCACATCTCAGCAAACTATCAGCACCAACAGGAAGATCAGCAGTCCAAGGAGCCCTCGGCTGGTGGCTAAGATAGCAGGAGACACAAAGAACCTGCTGAGAGCAGCGAACCGCCACATCATCCAGATAGAAAGTGCTGATGACGTTGTGGCTGGGGACACCAATGCAGACCCCCAGTCCCAGACAGCCATGTCCCTCCCATATGTTCCTAAGACTCAGACATCTTATGGCTTCGCCACCCTAAAAGAGAGCCCCCACACTCGGCGCAAAGAGTCCCTATTTCACTGCGAGCTGACCAGTCCAATCACCTCCCCAAACACCCAGAGGAAGACTCCAGGGAAGGGCAGCGAGACAGGGAACCGGCTGACCCCTGCTGACTGCAACACCTCCCACATGAACCCTTACCGTTACTTTAGTGGCGGAGAAAGTGACACCTGCTCTTCTGCGGAATCATCTCCCTTCAGTTCTCCGTTGCTGTCCCGCTCTGCTTCGCTTCTCAAGATCTTCACCCATGAGACACAGGCCAAAGTGGTGAAAGCCAAGCGGACGCTGGCTCGCCACAGCTCCCTGTCCACAGACGAGTGCAGCTCGGCAGAACCCAGTCCCAACATCCAGCGACGTCTCAGAATCCCGTCCCTTCACGGCGCGGCTGGAGCATCTGACCACGGCCTCCAGCGGGAGCACACCATCAACCTGCACAAGGGAGGCACATTAAGGATCAGCGTCAACCATGACTCCACCACGTCACGCTTGCTCATCCGTGTTCTGGTGGCTGAGAGTCTGTACGACAAAAGCGTTGACATCAAAAGCATCAACTGCTGTGTGTCGGTGTACCTTAACCCGGGCAAGCTGCAGAAGCAGAGAAGCAACATTATTAAGAACAGCCGCAACCCCGTCTTCAATGAGGACTTCTTCTTTGACTCCATTAGCTCTGCTCAGGTGAAGAACCTTTCGGTTAAGTTCAAGGTGGTGAACAAGGGCACCAGCCTGAAGAGGGACACGCTGCTCGGCGAAAGGGAAGTTCCTCTGGCAAAGCTGCTCTCTGGACTCTAAAGCCACAGGAGAAGGAGTTTAAAGGGATAATTTGGGATTTTTAAAGAGAGATTCAGGTGAAAGCTTACACTCATTTTTCCTCTGACCTACCATGGATAACTGTTGGCATCTGAATTAACTTTGAATTTATAACCACTGGTCGTGGCAGCTGATGCTAAATGCTGAAAAACAGAAATGGACTCCTACTGTCTGAAAACAACTCTGGTTTCCAAACAATTTGTTTCAAAACACAATGATTTGAATCTCCTTTATTTAGAGAGACATCTATACTCATTTACATTTTGTGGAAAAAATCAAGGGAGTAAACCAGCAATGATCTGTATGAAACATAACCCCCCCAAAAAGCAGAAAAACACACAAAAAAACATAAATAATTTCAACTAATTCATTGATTTCTACACTGAAGCAGTCGCTGTCATTAATGCTTCATTAATGTTAAGGTTCAGGATTAGTTGTTCCTTTATTCAGATGCTTCTAACCTTAACCATTACTAGCTGTTAGCCTCAGCCTATGAGACTTATTAATCTGGATTTATAATAAATGAAGACACAGACAGAGTTATTTACTAAAACTAAGATTTATGCTGCTTGTAACCTTTTAACAAAATCTCCATTTGGATATCCCAGACTGTTGCTTTAAAACTCAAAGGATTGTGGCTAAAACTCTACTTTTGTGTTTGCACTGTTTTCTCAATGACTGTAAGCGTGGAGAATGTAAGAAGGAGAAAGGTTTAGAAAACAACCTGCCGAAGGTCTGCTGAGGTTCTTTTTCTGATAATTTATTCCCGTTTAACCAAACTGGACTCCAACAGCCACAGATGAATGTGACAGAATAAAGCTCTCCATTCTGAGCACGTTTCCTGGCGTCCTGAGCCAGGTCCTCCTGGTTCAAAGGTTGAATGGCACCTGTGCGTCAGCCCGTCTCCCGTCCTCCACCTTCGACGTGCTCGTAATGGATTTATTATTGTAATGTGGCGGAAATCCGCAGCAGCGCAGGATTTTTTACATGAGCTCCACCATCTGCCACACAGAGATGCTTTTGTGAATGAGTGCGTGCTTTGAAGCGGCCCCAGATCCTGATGTGCAAATGATCCTTTGATCTACAGGGGGAGGGCAAGGAGCGAAAGGAACAGTCACATTTACATGCACATCAAAAATGGAATTTCAATATGATTGATTAAGCAAAAGACTGCAATAATCTAAAATGCTGAAAATTAGAAATGTTGCAATCAGCAGGTATCTGTAAGCAGATGCATGGTTTTGAGCTTAAATTGCTTTGTGGATATTTTTATATAAAACTACACAGCTTACTTACTCTAATCCTCGATTTCATCAGTACACCTCAATCTGAATGTTGCTTTCGCAGACTAAAGCCAAGAAAGGGTTAAAAGAAAAAACATAACAGTTTTATACCATGTTGTTTTGATCCAATTATTGATGTAGCATTATCAGTTTTTCCTTCTTTTTTTAAGCTAAATCTGAGCAAGACAGTTTGAGTATAACTATAAATTATCTGCATAAAGCTCAAAATTAATAAATCTTTCAGGTGAATCATGCCACAACATACTTACTTTCTCTAATATACAGGCGTTACCCAAATAAAACCCTTCGAGATATGTCTGGGAAGAGTGTGGGAAAAAAAAAAAAAAAACATGAAATAATGAAGACGACACTTTAGGGGGAAATCTTCAGTTTTGATAATCAAAACTTGTCAGTATAATTAGTTTTTTTCTCCAAAACTGATTTTGAGATGCTTGTTTAAAAATCCATTTGGAGGCTCCCAGCACAAATTTTGATTATATTATGTTTTGACAATCTGAGACTTTACTCCCTGCATAAAAAATGTAAGCGTAAGAAGTAGGTACTATTAATCTGAAATGGATTAATTTCATTTTAAATGTGCCATTAAAGAGAGAAAAATATTTTTAAAAGCCAAAAGATAACCTAATGAGTAACATATCAAGTTGTATCAAGAAGGTTATGTTCTAAAGCAACATAAATAGTCAGATTTCAATGCTTTTATCATCATCACTGGTCAGGGGTCAGAACATGCTCTTATTTTACAAGTTTATGTTAACCAGTAAACAGTGTTGTTGCTTTTGTCCTTTCCAGAGTTTTTGCCAACAGGTCAGCTGTTACAGGAAATGAGACACATCAAAAAGCCTGAGTAAAGCTTGAATAATATTAATATTTCATATAAATCAGGCAGATTTTAGGCTTTTTTGTCAAATCTAAAAAAAAAAACTACTGTGTGAACCTATCACACTAACTGGCGTCTCTTCTAAGGTTGTATTCTTTGTGCATATTAGTTCATCAACATAAGAACAAGCAGATATCTGCAGAATACATGTAGCAAAAATGAAGCCTTAATATTTCTATACAGTGAAATATTGTAATAACCACACCATTTAAACACATGCCCTACATAAAAGCATAGCTCTTAAAATAAAGCATCTAACTGGGCTTCTTGAGAAATATACAACAAGTCATGATATGTCTGACAGAGAGCATTTGATATGCAGCAAACATATCTTAAAATTATTATCTCAACCACAATTTTTTCTCTCAGCAGAAACACTCAGCAGAGCATTTAGGCCCAATAACAAATTTAGCCCAGCTTTTAAAATCTAGCAAGCTTATTAAATGCAGCTGACACAATCATGATCTCTGATTGTTTTGCCAAAACAAAAGAACTAGCGTTCAATTTAAATGATGAAGGTAAAAGCGTGCACTCTTGCAACATTAAAAGTTAGTTTATGATTCTAAAGGCAGAAAATAAAAAGGATGCATTTATGCTTGATCATAGAAGAGCAATATATAGAACGTCCAGCTCAGATTATATCATAGCTGCTATAAAATATCTTCAACAGAATCTTATCCTCTGCTCTTTCATTGTCTCTGTCAAGAATATGTTCGAAAGTAAACCTATAATCTAATGTAATCTTATTCAATTCTTTAATATAATATATATAAATTGAGCAAATTTAAGAGAAAGTATTGGATTAATACTTAAAGGCATTAAAACCCCCCAAAAGATCAGTGTTTACAGGATTAAACGTGATACATAGTTGGTTTCTGAAGCTTGTTTTGATCTGTTCTGATTTTCCAGCTGCAGCTGCCCAGTGTGGGCAACCTGATTAAATCTTGCGGAACCAAGCAACAGCCTCTCACTAAATAGGTACATGGCCATCATTAGTCAGACTCCTGATCCCTTATTGGGCTCTAGCATCAGCTTTAATCCTCTGTTGGTCAAATTTTCTCCACTTTAATCAAGTCTATTAAATTTGACCCTGTTAAGTAAAACTTTTAATGGTCACAGAAGCACATTTTGAGTCGCACTGTTGGCAGGAGGATGAAAGAGAAGTTTATTAAACTCATCAAACCATGTAAAAATAATAAAAAAATCAGCTGTCAATGTATGCAACCAGTCTTTAGCCTTAGTGCCTCTGTATTAGCAATGTGCATGTAAATGTGTTATTTTTTTTAATATATGAGATTAGAGCATTGGTGTCACAGTGAGTACCAGCTGCATGGTATCAATGTGTTGCTGGTGTTTGCATGACATGCTCAACGTTTTCTGAAACCCTAAAGCCTTACTCTGAATGTCTGCGCATGAAAGAGAGAGAGATTAAGAAAGGTAGTTTTGATGTGAGTGTTTGGTTTGCACGATTTTGTCCACAGTTTCTCACTTTCCATGTAAAAAGTGGAGTATTTTTTTTTGTAAAATGCTTTTAAAATGATACTTGCGGTATGTTGGATTTGTATTCAATCACTGACTGTTTAGGTTTGTTATGTTTCTCCGATTACCAATTATGCACCAGCCAGCCAGACATGCTGATGTACAAAAAAAAAGTATCAGCTTTAACAAAGCTATTCGGTGAGCGAGGTGTAATGATGCAGAAGCATCAAACAAGAAAACAGGAGATACAGACGGAAAACAATGTTTGGAGTTTGAATGTGAACAGCTGTTTCGCTACTGAAGAAATTACAGGTGATTTCAGCTCCAAGTCCTTTGGAGTGGAGGGGAAGAAAATGAGTTCTCACTGGCTCCCCAAATCTTCTGTTAAATACTTTTTTCCTTTCACACTGGGTTTGCAGCCCACTGGTATCCCCCCTATTGATGTGTTCTATATTACTCAGCATACAGAGATGCTGTTAACTGTTTTATGATGGTGTGAATTTGGTGAAATGTTGTAATCTCTGCATTGTGTTGAGCTGTTTTTGGTCTCAATGTACTTTAGATTCAAACTCCTGGTGTATCCAAACTTTCTTTAAGGGTTTCTTCTAGCATGGCTGAACTCTCTTGGTTGTAGCTGTGCTTCTGTGTATATTCAGGTGAAACTTTGCTTTAGTCACAAAGTTTGATCCTCCTAACGATGCACATAATACATGGTGTGTTTTGCTGATGGTTCGATGGTGTCCTGCTTATAGAGCTTTACCGTAGTGGACCGTCATTTCTTCTGTAGTTAAATGATAGATATTGATCTCAGACTGCAGAATCTAAGTACATCTATGAGAACTGGCCATGTTTTGTGACACACAGCTGCTATGAATGACACTGAAACTTAAGTTTTAATATTAATGCTGTCATCTATGTAACTTACAGGGCCTTCCACACACAGAGCCAACCCTGTGACAGATGTGGAAGTTTAAAATAGCTTCAACATATGATTCAGCAGCACAATTATATCAGAAAATAATAAAAACAAACTGTAATTTATAGATATTTAGTAAATAGGTAAGTCTTACAGCGGTCATGAAACTAAAAATTGTTTCTACACTGCAAAATCGACCTTAAGATGAGTAAAAAATCATTAAAATTTGTGTATTTCCCCTCAATTTGAGTTGGTAATTAAGACCATCTCCTGCCAATGAAATTAGTATTTTTACCCTTAAAATAAGATCATTAGATATGCGTTGCAGTTTTTTTTCTTTTTCTAAATGTAAATTATCTTCAAAGTATCTCTATTACTTGCTCAATTCTAGAAAAAATGCATTTATTTAAAAAAATTAATTTTTTTGCAGTGTAATCTTTTTTCTTTCATTAAGTTAATCAGTATTTTAATTGGCCCTTTATTTGAATTTTGTAACTCGATGATTTCCTTTGAATTGTAGATGCTCCTCAAAGACACTTACTTATTGTTCTTGGGAAAGAAAAGAACAATAAGTAAGAAGTAAGCCTGATGTCATTTGAGACTCAAATGTCCTAAATGGCTACAGGTTACCACTCATCTACAGTCAGAGCATGAACTCTGAGTATATGATGCCCCCTGACTCATAGTTTTAAGGCTTTCTTCACACATTTAGCACAGCTGCCTCTAGCTGTAGAAGCTCTGAACATGAGGACACCATTTTATCAAATATAGGACGCTTTATTAGTTGTTATTTTGATCATGTCACACTGAGGTGCACTAAGAGTTAATCTTGTGTCTGCTGTCATGCCAGTCAGCTGTTAGCTGTAAGAAGTCTTTAAAATGTCCATTGCTGTTTCCTCCTTGAACTGTTTGCACACATCATTTAAGCTGTTAGCAAGTGAAAGTTTTACAATATTTAACATTCGTTGGGGTAGAAATATAATTTTTACTCTTCATTTTACACACAGTTTAAGACAAAGTTCATCTATTTTATTGTTATTTTTCGAATCTATATTATTTGCATATTTTAAACAGTGATACAGTTACCCTTAATTTCCCAGCCCAGATTGATACAGTTTAAGGAATAAGCAGGATTAACTGTGTTCTGATATGGCTAACTGGTTGGACCAGAGAAAATGTTTGGGATCTATTTCACCTTGCATGTTTTTCCTATACCCATCCTTCTCCTTGACCATTACAGGCTCACTGGCAGCTTCCATTTCTAAACCAAGTTCCTAACCATGGCATGTCAGTTTATTTTTTTCAGTGGTTAAATATATTATAAAAAAAATGAAAGAAATCCAAACTTCATAGAGTTTTAGTGACCTCACGCTGTGGAAGAAGATTCACAGTCTCATAACTAAACTTTCTTAAGTAGGAGTAGAAAACTTATGGAAATGCTTAAATGTTCTTCAAGATGGAGACAAATTAATGCCTGGTTTGTGCAAAAATATCCAGACTCTTATAAATTCTGGACATTTTGTGTATGTTGATTAAAATGAAGAAGTGGTGACACGAGGAGCACCCACAGCTTTTAATGGTTGATGAGGAGGAGGCAATTAGATTATAAAGGTCAAACACAAAGTTAGAATTTTTAAATTAATGAAAATACGGCTGGAGTTATGCTGCGTCAATTTTCAAATTTTTAAAGCCAAGTCATTTCAAATTTATCCCCAAAGTCCTGCCTGAACATCCGATAGATAAAAATATGAAAAGCATGTAAAAAACGTTGCTGCTTTACATTTCTATGAGGAGTTTTGAAACATAAGGAGCAGAGCGCCCTTATATATTTGGATCGTTTCGCACCAGTAGAAGCTGTTTGACTTCCAGAAAACAGTAAGTCAACATGTAGGGTTTGAGTCACAAGGTGATAATGTAGTCAAAGATAACAGAAGGGGTGTTGACATAAGTTGACAAACCTGAAAACCCAGACTAAGGAACATAGTTTCATTCCTTCAGTTTCCCCAAAACAGCACAGTTCAATGATCTTCAGAATCCTTTTTTTAATGTTATTCATTTTTATTCATTTGGTGTCTTTTAATTATCTCTTTGCATGCAATTTATCAGTTTCAATCTCAAAACTGATCAAATGTGTTAATCTACAAAGTGGATTTTTAAAATGAGCTTCTCTTGATGACTGGCCTGCTGCTGTGGATGAAAATTCAACAGATTTATAAAAGGTAGAAAGGCTTTACTTATGGGAATTCACATAAGAAACACATCTATGTGTGGGTATGTGTGTTGTACTGATAGTGACTGTTCCCTTTTGGCTTGTTTAAATTTGTGTTAAATAAATCTGTATATATGATCGATAGATTTTCTTTTTTTTTAATCGCTGTCTCAAGACTTTTGCTCTGACAGATGAAACTGAAAAAGTGCCAATCCTATACTTGACTCTTGATTCATCAGTTAATTTTTTTTCTATTGTGAACCAGTTGTGTAGTTGTTAGGATTGTGTTTCTTATCTGTGTGCTTAATGATTTTCACACTGTGATGCTATGACCACTGACAGCTGTTCTCTCTGTGTCTTGATGGGATTGAGATGCGTTCAATAAAACATTATTGGAATCATTATAATGTTGTTTTGCAGTTTTTGTTGTGCCTTTTAAAAGAGAAAATTAAGAGTTAATCGCGTTTCTGTACTTGTATTGTGTAGAAGATGAGTTGTGAATGTGTATGTTACTATAATTACAGCTGAAAGTGTTTTTACATCAATACATTGCTCAACTCTGTCCTCCTGATGTGTTGATGTGCTCTTTTCTAAGCTAGTTCATATACTGTAGCTCTGTCAGTGTGTTTAGGGTCGTTGTATCGCGACATGATAACCCACCCTCAAATCTTTATTAACTTTCTAATAGATTTCCTATCAGGACTGCATCATCTTTGCATCTTCTCATTTTCAAATCAACTTTTCGCTGTCCTTGCTGAAGAACTTCATCCCTGAAACATGATTCTGTCACCATCATGTCTAACATGAAGATGGCATCTTTAGGTTAATGTGCAGCATTTATCTTCAGCCCACACATTACTTTGCATATAGGCCAAGAAGCTGAATTTGGTCACATGTGACTGAGAGTTGTTATGTCCCCCAAAAGGCTTTTGAAAAACTTGGGGCTTTTTAAGGATTTAAACCCCAGTCCGCTGTGGAAGTTCTGCTTGAGGCTTTTTGCTGTTGAAGGGGAATTGTCATGTTCTCTGTTACTGCATCTATGCTTGATATGAGGGATTGCTGCAAAGCTAACCACACAATGCAAACATCTGTCTCTGGCTGAAGTGTGCTTATCCAGGGGGATTGAATTCTGCTAGTCAATGACTGGATGCAAACATATAGATTTCCTTATAAATTGAATGTGTCTGTATGATTTTATTTAAATTAAAGTACTTTACCTTGTAATGATGTAAATTGGTTCTTTATAAATTCAATAAATTAAGACTGAGATGGGGCTTTAGATTGCTCTCCTTCTGACACAACAGTTTCTTTCACCTAATCGATGGCTCTCTTACCTTGCAAGCCTGATGATTGTCTTGTCTCAAAAATATTTTTTTCCAGAAGCCAATAGATGGATTTTCCTTGAATATAGAAATGTTTTGAAGCATTGTAATGCAGTGAACTGAATGACATCATCGAAAGCAGCAGGCTGAAGCAAAACAATCATGGCTGCTCCAGTGGACATGCCTGTGGACTCTGCTATTCACTCTGTTTTAATTGGATTACCCTCCATTTATTTTTGGAAAAACAAACAAAAGGATGCGATTTTTGTCTTTGTAGATGGGAAAGATGTCTATGAGTTCCTCACAACAGTATTTGGCATGAGTTTGATTTATCAGTAAACTCTGCTTGTTGTAAAAAAATCAAGAAGCTTCAGAGGGATCCTACTGTTATAATTGTGTTTTCTTTAGTTGCTCTCATGGACGACTAAGTGGTTGACGATGAAATACTGCAGATCACTGCTGTAAAATTTGGTGACAATGACGAAAACAGTCTTGAGCAGTGATTACGAGCTGATATTTGGGGGCCCAGAGTCATGGCTGCTCATTTCTGAATGGAGGGACATGCTTTCATGTAACAGGAAAATATTATTGGATAAATCTCCTGCCACATACAAAAGGTGAGTAGAAATAAAACACACATATATGCATATCTGATACATCACAGCTGACATACGCTCGACATGGGAGGCAGGTGCCACTTGTTGATTTACCCAATTATCGTGAAGGATTGTAATGAATGTCCCTTAAGTGAACACTTTTCACAGGAGTCTTTCCAGTAGACTGAACTAGATGTATCAATCTTGCATATAGCAGGTTAAAGGATCTCTGCAACTCCTCCAAAGTTACCATAGATATTTAAGTTGTCTCTTTGACAAAAAATTAATTGTTCAAAATGTGTCCCTTTATCTTCATGATTCTGTTTGCTCTCTAATGTTCTCTAGGGCAAGGCAAGTTTATATGTATAGCACAAACTGCTTTACAGGAAAATATGATAAAAACATGAGTAAAATAAATAAAACAGGTCGACCACAACCTTAAACTAATAACAACTCAGATAATGGTTTAACTTCAACAGTCAAAGGCAGCATTTCAGCATTTTTCCAAGCTTCTGGGAGTTTTTCCAGATAAGTGGAGCATAGGAACTTAATTCTGCTTCTCCATGTTTGGTATTTGTTCTGCGTGAACAGAGTAGGCTGGAACTAGAAATAGTGATCCGAGAGGTTGATACACTGACAACATATCTGTTTATTATTGTATTATGTATTAAGGTGCTGATCCATTCAGGGATTTAGAGACTAAGAGAAGGATTTTAAAGGCTATTCTCTGAGCTACGGGAGCCAATGTAAGGACTTCAGAACTGGGCTGATGTGCTCTACTTTCTTAGTTGTAGTGAGACCATGGGCATCAGCGTTTTGGATCTGCTGCAGCTGCCTCATGGACTTTTTAGGCAAACCTATGAAGACACTGTTGTAGTAATCAATTTGATTAAAGATAAATGCATGAATGAGTTTTTCTAGATCCTGCTTGGAGATGAATCCTTTAATCCTGGAGATGTTCTTCAGGTAATAAAAGGCTGACCTGGTAACAGTCTTTATGTGCCTCTGAAGGTTAATCATGACAACAATAGAGCCTGAGGTCTTTCATGGATTGGCTGGATACATGGTAAGACTGAAATAAACATAGATGGACTGAATTTCCTGTTTTATTTGTAATTAAAATAGTTACACAGGGTTTAATTTACATATCAGAGTAAAGAGAGCCAAATAAAAATGGAGGCCACACTTTAAAAGTTTTATTTGTAAAAGATGAAAACCTAATAAAATTTGGTCTGTCTTTCATCAATGACCACTTTTTTCTTTTAACCTTTTTGGATACTGCTTTTTTAACTAATCTTTGCATTTTCTCCCACTTCAATAAAAATATCTACCAAGGTTTCAAGTCCTTATTTTCTTCTCATTGGATGTTTGCTCCAAAATATAACATCAGAAGCGCACAAACAAATGGGAACAGGAAGTATTGAATCCGTGCCCAGCCATCAGTAATTGGTAGTTAATAGCAGTACACCATCATTTTCAGCCTCAGGGAGGAGTTGATTCTGAACTGGTGGGTTTGTGTAGAAGTCAAGGTGAAGCAAGAACTGATGAACAGAAAAAAACCTTATAATGTCTGCATCTGTAACTTTTTTGCTCCTTTTTATCTGTTTTAACATAGCTTGTCAGCTGTTATATCATGGAACAGCACAGCACTTGGTTAACAATTCTTCAACCACGAAATGCACTTAAAAGCCATTTAACCTAGTTAACAAAAACAGTGAGTCAATAATAAAATTCAAAAATAATTCAGGGAGAAACCTACTAAAGATGAATCAGTTTCAGTTTTAAATCTCTTAATATAAAATTAAAGTTTGTTAGGATACGAGACAGTAGGATTTTATGACAACACTGTCATTATCTTCCGCTCTGCAATTTTTGGTTCTGTGTATGTTTTAATTTTGGATGCTCAGTTATGCTTTATTTTATGTTATGTTTTTTTCAAGATTTATATCAATTTTGCTATTATTTATTCCATGGTCTAGTTTTAGTTAGTTATTTTTTCTCTTATCCTTAAGTTATGTTTTCCATGGCTTCAGTTATCTCCAGTTCCTTCTCACTTAGCCGATTGCGCCTTCATGCATTTCCGAAGAGCCGACGGCAAAAGTAAATAACAGTCCTTTTTTCCACTGTACACAAGCCATGATCTGCTTATCTGTTCTCCATTTTTCATTTGGATGAAATAATAGCATAGAATCATGACAGCAGACAAGATAAAGGAGAACAGGAGGCGGGGTTAACAATCTACTTGCTCTGGAGAGCAGAGTTTGCTGCTTTTATATGTTGTCGCCAAAGTCTCCACTAACAGAAAAAAAGTTGCTAGATTTGGCACTAGGTGCTTTTCTGGAATAAAAGCACTAGAGGGGTCTGAAAAGTTGCTAAATATATGCATTGTTTGTTTTCAACTGGTTTGCTGCTGTCTGTTTGGACCTTTCTGAACATTTGCAGCAGTGGACTGATCCAATTTGGTGGACACTGAAGGGGGGCAGAGACACACTTAATATTATAGTTTCATCAAAAACATAATTAATGTGCACAAATATATATTAAAAATATAGATTATAGATTTTTAATATATATTTGTGCAACTGCCTAGTATTGCCTAGTGGTAAGTCCCCCCTGTCTGCAGTTCATCATTGCTAGTTTTTCTTCATTGCTATTTATGTTCCTCCAAAGTGTCTCCTTGTTTTGGTTTCTAGGTTCCCTGTCATTTTCAATATAGATTTATGCTTCTGTTGCCACTAACTTTATTAAACCTACAAGAAACCATCTCTGCTCCTATCTTTGCATTTGGATCCCCTACAATCATCCACTACACTTGACACAACACACTCTTAAATTTTTCTCCCCTTTGAGTTATGGCTTTGTTTGACCATCTTTTATTTCACAACCAGTATTGCAGACCTAAAAACAGAAATCAAGGGTATTTTCTTTTCAAAATAGCCAAAGCTCGTTCAGATTTGAATGCAGAGCAGTTTTCTTTCAATAGATTCTTAATTAGATTTGGATCTGGCTGGCCTTGTATTGGGCCACCCAAACGCATGAGTATGGTTTGATCAAACAAGCTGTGTGTTAAACTTCAAACTCAGCAATACATATATTTTTTTTTAGCTTTATTTTAATTTCTTTGTTTTCAGTCATATTCTGCTTATTCTTAGGGGTGAATTACAACAAAGTTAACCATAAGGAACTTTATAAAGATAAAATTAAAATATAGCTCTTCAGAGTTCCCATTCATTTCAAAATTCATTTATTACTGTAATAGAAACTACTGCTCCCAGAACGTTCTTACACTCCAGAGCTTTCATTCCTACTTCTTTGCCTGCCTCGACTAAAGGAAAATTATAATCCGCAAGTTATGAAAGCATTAACTGTCATGATCTGCACCTTTTGGTTCCGTGTAGATTTTCATTTTGAGTTCTCAGTTATGCTTTATTTGATGTGATTCTGTTTTGTCAAGATCTATATAATTTTTGCTATTATTTATTTCTTGGTCTAGTTTTAGTCAGTTATTCCTTCTCTTATCCTCTAGTTTCCACCTTGGTTAATCCTAATTTTGTTGCCATTAGTTTTATTCCACTTCAGCCTTATTTAAGTTCTTTTCTAGTTACAATAAAGCCCCTTTCCCCCTGGCATCTCTTTGTTTCCCCCTGGTGCTCTTTTTGTTTCCCCTTGGCTCCTTTCTGGCTGCTTCTGTCCACACCTGCTCCCAATTAACTGATTACCCCACTCTTGGGTCTGCCTTTTTCATTTTGCCAATGAAAAAAGAAAATTTACATTTAAAATAAGAAAACACAATTGCATTGTCTTATTTCAAGTGCATTTTATTTAAATATCTTATTTTAAAAGTAAAAATACTTATTCCATTGGCAAATCATCTCATTTACCTACTCAAATTAAGGGTAAATACGCTTAATTTAAGACATTTTTACTTATTTCTAGATATTTTTTCCAGTGCAAGCTCTTCTTGGCACTGGCTCTCCCTCCATTTCTCTTCCTCACTTGACTATCTCTCTCTCATTGGAAGCAAAACATCTTCAGACTTGGAAAGCAAAGTCCAGTGGTTTGTTTTTAACTTGTTTTTTTGGAATGACTATGACCTGGATGACTGAGAAACTTCACCAGCTACTTGACGCAAATTTTTCGAATTTCCGAGCAATTTGAAACATGGTTTTATGTAATGAACCCTCGTCACGTGACGGGGGTAAGCTCGAAACACTTCTCAGCGACACCTGTTCAGAGGTGATCAAAGCTGTGTCGGGCTGACTCATTCGAGCCTAACATCACTGTAAAACAGCAGACTCATCTCTGACTCCTTCCGTCTATGCATTTGAGTCCTCCAAAACCTCCACACAACCTGACATGAACCATAGTTTCAAGATGGCATCTAGACAAGTGGGGTTGCAATACCACATAATGACCCAAAACAGCTGCAACAAGAGAAATTCAAGACAGTAACCTGTCCCATGGGAGCACAGGTTGATATACAAAAACACAGTGAGAGGAAGTGTAGATTCTAAATTAGTTTCTTTTATTCCTATTTTTCTTTTTCCTATTTATTTTTTTCTCCTATGTTTATGCCTAGCCCAAGATCTTAATGTGACATTTACTACCCCTGTACCCATTTAAGATAGCTTTCAGATAAAGTCAGGGCCAGGTTGAGTTAACATTGTGGTTGTCTCAAAATGTTTCAGCTGTGGTTATGTTAAAATTGAGTGCAGATAATATTCTCATGTGTGAGCTGTATCTTGTTGTGTATGATACACCGGGTCAAAATGAAAAGAAATATTCAAGTAGATACCTGGAAGTTAGCACATAGCAACATTTATTATCCACAGGCAACTTTCTTCTTCTTCTAAGGCACAGCTCACCACTCTCTAGTGCACTGTCAGAGCGCCCCCACTGGCGAACTGTTATATTTGCCTTAACTTTAGATTCACAATAACAGACAGCCTCCAACACACACAGGAGCATACTTAAACCAAAAGTGTCTTAACACATCAAACCCGGCGGTTCATTAATTTCGGTGTCTGGAACACCACAGCTCCTCCCCTGTAAAATCAATACTTCTCAAACAATAACATTTGTTTTTTTTGTTTTTTTTGAACAATATAACTGAAACTCAAGAAACACTTTTCTGTTTTTAAACCCTCATTTAGAGTTGTAGTTTAAAGTTCAGTCTATCAGGAGGACGCCGGTTTCTCACTGGGCGTGTGTTACTTTCAACTGTAGATGACGGAAAGTCCATTGGTTGATTTCCAACAGTTTCTTCTTCCATCGGTTGATCCACACCTTTGGTTGTATCAAAAACATCATCATTCCAAAAATTTCCAGTACAAGAGTCTGTTTGTGTCCACTGAGCTGGATTTCCATTTACTCCCAGCATCTGATTTACATGTTTTTTAACACACTTCCCATTCACTTCCACACTGTAAGTTACAGGACCCAGGATTTCTCTTATAACTCCATTCAACCACTTCTCCCCTCCCCTGTAATTCTTAACCAATACAGGTTGACCTACTGTGAAAACTCTAACACGTGGAAGAGGTGGTTCTGTTTTGTTTTGCATTCTCTGAGAGAACTGGGGTCTGATCAGTGACAATCTCGTTCGAACCTGTCTTTTTAGAAATAACTCCGCAGGAGTTTTTCCTGTAGTGGTATGGGGCGTGTTTCGGTACCCTAAAAGAAAATTTGCCACACAGTGCTCAAGCGACATACCACCTATGGCGCGATTCTTTGCTAGCGATTTCTTAAGGTTTTGAACTAAGCGCTCTGCTAATCCGTTGCTGGCAGGGTGGTACGCAGGTGACTTAATGTGCTGCACTCCATTTTTCTTTAGGAAGTACTCCAACTCTTGCGAAACAAACTGAGGACCGTTATCTATTACAACTTCTTTCGGTAACCCGTAAGCAGCAAACAAATTTCTCAATGCTTCAATTGTTTTAACAGAAGTAGTAGTATGCATAGGAATAATCTCTGGCCATCTAGCATAAGCATCCATAACTACCAGAAACATCTGCTTGTGGTCCTCTGCAAAGTCAAGATGGATTCTCTCCCAGGGGCTGGCAGCCCATTTCCATTTATGCACTGGCGCAGTACAAGGCATACTACGCTGCTTTTGACAAATAGTACACTCACTGACTTCCTGTTCAATGCACTCATCTACTGCTGGCCACCAGAATAAACTTCTGGCAAGGGATTTCATCTTCACTATTCCCCAGTGGTGTTCATGCAGTTCAGAAATCAACTGGTCCCTTAATTTCTTAGGAACAACCACTCGTAACCCCCACAGCAGACAACCGTCTTCAACAGTAAGCTCAAAACGTCTCTGAAAATACGGCTTCAGCCACTCATCCTGTACATGTTTAGGCCAGCCAGTTAACACCAACTGTTTTACCACCTTTAGTACGGAATCTTTTTCTGTTTCTTTTGCTATCTCCCTTGCCGTGATAGGTAACTCATCAAGGTAAGATACTCTGTAAATAGGGTTTGACGCCACATCCACTCTTGGTTTCATCGGTAGCCTGGATAAAGCATCTGCATTACTGTGTTGCTCAGATCTTTTGTACTGAATCTCATACTTGTATGCAGCTAGAATTAGAGCCCACCTTTGCAATCTAGCAGCAGCTAGAGTAGGTACACCTGTTTTTGGTCCCAAGATTTTTAACAATGGTTCGTGGTCCGTCACCAAAATGAATTTCCTTCCATAAAGGTAGTCATGAAACTTCATAACACCAAACACTAAACCAAGTGCTTCTTTTTCAATCTGAGAGTAATTTTGTTCGGTCTTAGTTAAAGTTCTTGATGCAAATGCAATCGGTCTTTCGCTTCCATTTTTCATTTGGTGACTGATTACAGCACCAACTCCATAAGGAGACGCATCGCATGCTAAGATAATTGGTAACTCGGCATCAAAATGTACCAAGATTTTGTCAGATTGAAGAGCCTTCTTTGCATTCTCAAAGGCATTTTGACAACTTTCTGACCAAATCCACTCTGCATCTTTGTGCAGCAACGCTGTCATTGGCTGGATCAGAGTCGATAAGTTTGGTATAAACTTCCCGTAGTAGTTTAACAGAGCCAAGAATGACCTAAGTTCAGTTACATTACTGGGAACTGGAGCCCTCTGAATGGCAGTTGTCTTTTCTTTCATAGGATGAATGCCGGTGGAATCAATGACATGTCCTAAATATGAAACACTGTCTTGCAGGAACTCACATTTTTCTCGCTTTACCCTGAGATTGTAGCTTTCGAGCCTCTTAAAGACTTCTTTTAAGTTAGACAGGTGGGTTTCTGCATCTTTACCAGTTATCAAAATATCATCCAGATAGCAGATTACTCCATCCATACCCTGAAGTACTTGATCCATTATTTTCTGGAAAATTGCAGGAGCACTTGCAACACCATAAGGTAACCGGTTGTATTGATACAGCCCTTTGTGAGTGTTTATGGTCAGGTAACACCTAGAGCTTTCCTCTAACTGGACTTGCTGGTAAGCCTGGGATAAGTCTAGTTTGGTAAATTTCTGACCTCCTGCTAATTTTGCAAACAGATCTTGTGTTTTTGGGAGTGGATACTGATCCACGTTTAACCATGGATTTATGGTGACCTTGTAGTCTGTATGTTTGTAGAGCACAAACATCTTCCACTGTTTCTGGAGCCACTCTATTAACCTGTGACCAGTCTAGCTTCAACTGGCTAATCCAGTCTCTACCCATCAAAGCAGGACCTCTTCCTTTTACTACAAGTAGTTCTAGTTTTTTTTTTGGTTTCTTGGCACTTTACTTTGGCCACAAATTTACCCATCAGCTGTAATGACTCTTGGCTGTACGTCTTAAGTACGTAATTTGCTGGACTAAGTTTGACTGATTTAAATCTGCGCTTATACAAATTTTCAGATATTACTGACACGGCAGCACCAGTGTCTAATTCCATCTTCACTCTGGAACCATTTACACTGACATACACATAATAAGGTTTTAGAACGTCACCATTACCTGTGTTCATTTCAAACAGACCAAAATCAGGACTGTCTAATGTCAGATCTGGAAAAGTGTCAAAGTTCAGGGCAGCTTCCATCCCGCACTGAACCACCTCCTCACTGGTTGCTCCATCTTCTCTGACTTGCTGTGACAGAAATTGGGTGTCGCATGGATCCCCCTTAAACTCGTGCCTATTGCCTGGCTCTGCATGCTGAGGTGCACCTTGCTGTGGACCGGGCCAGCTGCTGACATCCTGCTGCTGGAGAGCGCTGGCATCCTGACAGGGTTGCTGCTTGAGAGCGCTGGATCCCCTCCTCTCCATATCCAGATGCATGGTTCCCCTGGTCGTGCTCGAACGGCCTCCTTCTTTGCGTGTGCGACAGGCTCTGGCTATGTGTCCTTTTTTTTTACACTCATGGCACTCGCTGTCTTTAAACCTGCAGTCATTCGGGTTGTGATTTTTTCCACCGCAACGATAACAGGGTTTCCTGGCAGCTGCATTTTTCTCAGCTTCGTGGTATTTTGCTTTAGCTTTCTTTTCCACTACATGAGCCTTGAAAGCTTTCTGTGAAAATTGCTGTGCGCTGTCCTTAGTTACCTCAAAAGATAGTGCCATTTCTACAGCCAGCGGCAGGGTCAAGTCTTTAGTGTGCGCGGTACTGAGCAGTCGATCTCTTCATTCACTACTCTTTATGCCACAGACGAATCTATCCCGCAGCGCTTCATCTAAGAGAGTCCCAAATTTACACGTAGCTGCTAACTTTCGTAAACTAGCAACGTACTCACTGATGGTTTCGTTATCCTTTTGGTTTCTTCCGTGAAACTTGCACCTTTCTGCAATAAAGTTAGTCTTTGGTACGTAGTGCTTCTGCAGCAATTCTACCAACTCTTCGTAGTTTTTCTCCGACGGTTTATCAGGCGCACACAGATCCATCAGCAAGCTATGGGATCTTTTCCCCACCACCGTGAGAAACACCGACTTAGTTTTCTCCTCTTTAGTGTCCAGGTCATTTGCAGCAAAATACTGCTCGAGACGCTCGCGGTAGTTGTCGAAACTTTCCTCACTTTCCTCGAAGTGAAAATCTTCTGGCTTTCCAAACGCCATCCTTTTAGCTCCGGTTCCTTTTCACCCAAAACGCTCAGCTTTCTGTCCCGTGTTGCCTCTATGGAGCCGCGCCGTCTGCGGACTCGGTGCCTTCCAACTTGAACAATCCCATCCTCGTCGCCAAAATTCTGTTGTGTATGATACACCGGGTCAAAATTAGTAAAAGTAAAAGTCTAGTTGGTATGTTAACACAGATGTATGCAAATAAATATATAACCATGGCTCATGTAACTCCTTAGGGTAGGGTTGTGAAACTAATTGATCCCTCGATATAATGGACCCTAAAAAGAACAATTATTTAGAGATACTAATGTTAGTCAAAATTCATATAAATTGACCTTTGCTCAGACTGTCGCACTACTTTTGGCTCTGGCACAGCAACAAGCTCAGCCGCTCTGCTCCCCACAGCTTCACCAAACTATTATAATGGAGAACGATATAAATTCTGCAAACATGTTGAGCAGAGCCAGATAAAAAACAAATAAACCTCTTAATCAACAAGACAAAGTGTTTGGAGGAATTTTCCCATAGTGGTAAAAGAAACAACAAAAAAACTGTATTTTGAATGCTCGCTTTACATGTTATCTCTTTGTAGCTCAGGAGCGCAGCGAGATTAAGGATGCGATTCTAACAGAATGAAACGTGCCATCAGGACTCGAAGCAAAAATCCCTGGAGTTAAGAAAGTCAGCACCTTTGTTTCTTTTCGCATCACAACAACCAATCAGGGACTAGAAGTGGTTGTGATGTAGTGTGAAGGAATGCAACACAGACAAAGCATTTTAAAAGATTAAAGATAGAGAAAATAATGTTGACAAAGGATGAAGTAGATAATGCTCTTAAGAGGTTTGTAGGTATCTTTTAAAAGACGATTTAAAGGCACACTATGCAACATTTTTCAGTTAATTAATGTGTTCCATAACGTTTTGGATGATTAAATGAGTCATTTCAGGTCGAACAAAGGTATTCTCGGCCGCCCTGGTGGTCTGTGGGGGAAATACCGCACTTGCAATTGCAGGAGCCCTCGACCCACACCCACAGGCTCAGAAGTCTCGCGAGAGTCGGTCTTGCTTTACGCCGAGAACTGCTACACGCCCCCAGTTAAAAGCAAGCTCGTTGCTAGCGCAGTGGCGATCTTTGTGCAGTTATCATGGCGGAAAACAGCGAAAGCCCATGTCGGAGCAGGCAAGAAAGAGGAAAAGGGCTCCAGACAGAGAGAGGAGTCGTACACGGGTGAACATCGGGCAAGCTTTTTCCGAATAGCGAGAGCTAAAATAAAAAGAAGGCTGCAAGGCTGACGTGGACCTCGCGTTTCTGCTGATGCGATTGTAAGTAACATTGGAATGGTTTCTCTCTCTCTGTGTGCATGTTCATATTTTCACTGTGTTAGTCATTCGTTGCGTTCGCCTGTCTGCTAAGCTCAAAACAACTGTCCCTGGCTTGACGGAGAAACCAGAAGAACAGCTGTGCATATTTACGACAGTGCACTTTTACTTTCGCCCTCTGGGGGGAGCCTCGCTGGAAAATCAACACCGGTTGCATAGTGTACCTTTAATGTAGTCCTAGACGGACTGTTAAATCATTTATTATTCATTGCCCACGACCAGCTGCCGTTCCTTCCCCAAAGACAGTCTCCCCTTACCTGTGTTGTGAGGATCATCCATCTTTAAAGCAGTATGCTTAGCATAAAGTGGCTGTGATCCAGCCGTCGCTCCTGGACTCTCCGAACTGGGAGCCTCTCTGGAGGTTATGGTGCACTCAGTGACACTATTGGCTTTGTTTTTCGACAGTAAATAAAGCACCACGACTCATTCAATCAATAAAGGGCGGCCATGTTAAGGTGGAACCGGTGGGCACAGGTTTGATGATGCAGTGGATATTTCTGCCCACTAACCAAATAAAAACAAAACAAAAAAACTAAATGTTGAGTGGTGCTACATGCTAAGCTAACTTATTTAATTTATTTGGAGAAATGAAAAAAGGAAAATAAGACTTCTGCTATGGCGTCTAGCCAAACTTCCTTTTTTCTGAACAGCACCACATGACCTGGGTAACCAGACCTACACTTGAAGCCTTCAATTTTATTGATTACAGTTCCTTCCAGTGCCTACAACGCAGCTGTAACATAGTCAGTGTGAGCCTGGCATTAATCACCTGACGACTCAGTCAGATAATAACAGAGAAGCAACAAAGCAAACCAGTGCACCCCCCTGCAATCCTCCCTTTAAGGCCAATTTATACTTCTAAAGCATAGCCTTTGCAACCGTCAAAGATGTCTTTGTGCGTGACCACGCCCTCAAAAAAATCCGGACTAGATGTTGGATGGTCGCAAACCCGCACAGACCTCAAGCCGAAGTGCACAGACAAAAAGCAACTGTGATTGGTCCTTTGTATGCCTTTCCTGCTGTATGTGTGGTCGTCCTTATCAATTCGGTGCCGGGGCGCGCCATTATTAAAAACCGAGGAGTAATAACAACAACGGATAACCACGAGGGACGGAGGGAGGTTTGAAAGTACAGCCACTTGTACGATGCCTCAGGCATGCTGTTTTGGAAAATAAACATTTCCGCCGGCGCCACCGAAGTTCTCGCAAGTTCTCAAATAGGTGCCCCCTTGCACTTTGGCGGGAAACTGCTGTGCGTCCCTAGAAATTCCAGACCAACGTTGCAGAAGTATACCAGCAAAACTAGTTCCCGACCAGACGCAAGCGGTATTTGATAAGTGCGGTTGCAGAAGCATAAAGGCCAATTCATACTTCTAACGCATAGCCTCTGCAACCGTCAAATCTGTCTCTGTGAGCGACCACAAGCGATATTTGATGTGCGCAGTTGCATAATTATAATCCGCCCTTAATCCGCCCTTTAGTTGCAAAGCTATCGAAGGATAATGTGGCTGATAAAAAGCAAGTTATGATGGAGCCAGACTGAAGCAGGTAGTTCAATTAGAAAAAAAAAAACATCAACTCCCTACCTTGTTGCTATGATTGTCACTAAAGAAAATATTATACAAAATGACCTGGAAGACAAATATAGCAAAGGGTCTAACAAACAAAGTTTGTATGGCCAGATCCATGTTTGATTTTTGGTGTAGAATCATTCTTTATTTGTCTCTAAGTCGTAAAATGTATTATTGGTAGGAAAAAGGAAGCACACAATGTTACATTAAACATGGGCAAATATAATAAAAACAATTGTATAACTGAATCAAAGGGATGTGGTTCTCTGCATGATATTAACACTTATAGGACAGAATTTTACAGAGGGCTGAAATTACCCATATGAAAAAAAATAAAGGAGGAAATTTATAAATTGTTCAATGAATAAGAACAATAAATAACTTTGCATTGAAAAAAATGCTCTGTTTTAATTTCATTGAATTGGTACTGAGTTTGAGATTATAGAGCTGTTACAATCCTACTCAGAGCATTTCTTCGGGACCCTTCTGGCATGTCATAAACAGGTGATGCAGTTGGTCAGATTGGCTGTGCTGGATCTTGTATCTGAGCTTAAACTTAATTAGTTGTGGCTCGAAACCATCCGTTACCCATGCCAGCTCAAGGTTGAGAGGGAGTTGGAGCCTATCTGCAGCAATCATGCTGAGAGGCATGGTACACCATGGACAGAATTCCAGGGTAAACAAATATACACATTCATATTTATGGACAATTAAGAGAGACCATTTAACAAAATAGTCATGTTGTTGGACCAGGACACTGCATGAAAAGTGGGATTTTCGTCAATATGCGGCACTGTAGATTGTCGTGGAACTTCAGGTTAGCGGCAGTTTACGACAATTTGCAGGCTTCGCCGAAAACTCCCGTAAATTGTCAGAAATTGACGTGGACTTTGTTAGGCAGTGTTCCCCCCATGCCTCCCCCCCATGGAATTCTAGGGGAGGCTTTAACATGGAAATGAACATACTGTCAGCTATACAAATGCAAATCAGGGTTGCAGGGGGGGTTTTACTCCAAGTGACATTTTTCTAAAAGGTAAGAAAATCTCTGATACAAAGAGATCAGGCTCAGTATAGCCTCTTACATTTTAGCTTGAATTGATTTATTTAATTAAAGTATAGAGACCAAAACAGATCTTTAGCTGACAGAGCAATACATTTAGAGCAGTAATTATAAAAAAACAAAAATTACATTTAAGATAAAAAATAAAATCTTGTCTGTCAATATGCTCAATTCACAATAACTTAAGTGGAAAAGTTTCAAGAAATGAGTCTGAGATGATTCACTTTATAACATGGCACATTATCCTGTTGGAAGTAGCCATCAGAAGATTGGTAGGCCTACACTGTGGTCATAAGGTCCGGCCAGGTCAAGATCCGCAATTGCAATCGCACCAAATAGGAAAAAGAACATCGACAAATTCCGGTTCGTCAAATTAAAATATAGCAGCAACAGATCGGTGACTAGAAATTACAGCACAATTCTTATATATAAAAAAAAAAAAACTAACACCGTTTATTTAAATGATTGGATCCAAACTATTGGTTATTCACCAACGAG